TGCTGAGCAGCCTCGATGAGGAGCCTCACGAAGGGCCCTGAACAGTTGACTCGGGTTTGGGTGGCTTTCAATATATAGAACAATGCAGTATAGAACCTAGCAGACTGACTACGCCTGAAGATGATTCCTACACCGGCCTCCAGTTCTCAAGACCTCCGGTCCTTTGCTGTTTAGGTTTTAGTGATGTTGCTTTGGGGGTGTAGAGTGTAGATATGGCCTAATGAAAACTGTAGGGTGTTTTTTTCCGTGAGGGTTCAGGGCTAGTGCGGCTTCTTGCTATAGATGCTCTTTTGTTTTGTCAGTTGCTGAGCTAATGTTCCAAGCAACGTGAATCGTTAAGATTGCGAGGTGGCCCCGCAAGGTTTTTTCCAGTTTGTGAGCAGGTGTTGTTCACCGCCTTGTACTATAATAGTTACATGGCATGTAAGGCACGGAATCTTGCTAAGATGGCAGGCACCCCACAGCTCAAGAGGAGTCAGATAGGAAACTCAAGAAATGGGCCCTCGTGTGCCTGGTGTCAGCAGAAGCGGAGTCTTCGTTTCGCGTGTTGGGCCCTGGGCTTACGTCTTTCGAATGGTCTGCCTCCTCGTCGGCACCGTCTTCCTGATGGCGACCGCTGTCATTCTCTGGCGCGATGGATGGAGCTCTTTGCTGTATGTCGGTTTCTTAGACCTCTATGCTGTGGTGTCCATCATGATCGGGCTGGGCTTCTCGGCCCCCAGCAGCTTAACGCTGGTTCAGCGCAACGAGCCCTGGCAGGTGGAGATCCGTCGGAGGTTTCGCTCAGACAAGACTTTCCCCCTGGCAAGTCTGTCTGGTCTTCTGGAGGCGGGCAGACGTTCTGGGCTGAAACTTTATTGGCCGTTCGGTTGAGGCTCCAGGAGCTAGGCCTTCGAATGTGGTTTTTTTTGTTTTGTGAGTTTCCGGGAGGTGCGCGATCGAGCGGTTAGCTCTGGAACGACAGTCGGATACTCCACAGGGACACCTTCCTGGGAGTTGACATTTCCTGGGGAGAGTTGGATCATCACCCTCGAAGATCACATGGGATTCCTGGAGTACCTTGCCAACGTCTGTGAGAGCTCCAACCATCGGTTGACGCAGAACTTGAAGCACCAGCTGGGCTTGATAAGACGCGGGGTTCCACTGTAGGCGAAACTGGCAGGTTATTTTCACTTATGGAGCAGATGAAGCCAAATTAGTACATTCCAACCACCACAAAGCCGAAACAGGATCATGTGAACTCCTTCGTTTGTCATTGTCTTTTTTTAAGGGCAACAACGTACTCATTCAGGGAACGAGTTGTCGAATCGACTGTCTACATGATGAGGGCTTGCATAGCGAGGCTCATAGTGTATGCCCACAAATAGGTCGTGACTTTCACGCGCAATCGACAGGTATTGGGACTACGTGAACAACCACCGTCAACATCATATTTCTTTAGGTATATGAACTTCACTTCATATATACTTATATGGGACCCAAGACCCGTAAGCCTTCGCACTGTCAATTACTACTAAGACAACCCGGTACTCCAAATACACAGAGAGAGACAAAGAGAGAGCGAGTCCATGGCATTCTCATATCTAAGTAACCCGGCCTTCTCTAGCCTAGGCTGCTACAAGCAGGGCCGT